ATTTCTGCTTTTAATTTTCTTTATACTCATATTTTTGATACAACATAACAACGTATATTATATTTTATCGAATATCGTAGTTAATAAAAGTGTAGTTCTCGTAAGAAAAATATATTTTATTATAACAAATCGAGCAATACAAAAATCGTTTATATTCGTTAAATATAACTATTGCTTTTAAGAATATTTAAAAGTCTTAAATGTTTAATATTAATAGAATATTTGTAGATTACAGGTGTTTACAACCTTTAAAAACAAAATAAATTTATCTTCATCCAGCTAAATTAACATAACTGAATTGCTTTAATAATTAATTTGTGTATTTTATCTATTCGTAGATAAAGCCTACATAATAGGATTATAGTAAATTTTTTAACAAGCCATTCATATAATTATTCAATATAAGTAGGTAGCACTGTTAAATTTATAATATTCTAAAATAACATTAGTGCATTAGACAGTATTTTTATAATCTCAAATTTTACATTATATACTTCAGAACATTAATGTAAGTGATTCACACATTTTATACATTAGAATCGTGTAAATGCATAGAGAACCTCAAATATTTTGGAACGACCCCAAGTACGAAATGTCTCAAGTGCTCCGACGTTAGTGCGTGTCTAAAAATACTAATAAATAACTGTGCTGAATAAATATACATTTTTGTAACTACGCATAATAATCTAAACGGAAAATTGCCACTGATACCATTAGACATATCAAAGAAAATTATAATTATTAGTACTTTTAAGTTTTAAGCTTATAAATATACGTATATGCACGTATATAAAAACGATCTGCACGCCACTGTCTACGCAATAAAAATATTTTGCAGTTTAGGACGGGAGAAGAAGTTATGTTTTAAATGTTTTAATCTATAAACGAAATATTTAAATGAATAGGTGATCGATTTATACTGAGTTACTGTGTTTGTTTTAATATTTTTAAGCTAATAATATTTTAAGATGAAGGTCTAAAAATCTAATAAATTTAATTATACTTATTGGCTATCACATATTCACAAGACCAAAATTTTAGACGTTAAATTAAAACWGTTGAGTTTACTTTTTAAGTGGTGTTTAGAGAATTTCTAAGGTTTTATTATATTAATTTGAAATTTGCATATATTAATACTAATAAGTAATAATAATATTGATAACTTAAAAAAATTATATTGATTAATTAATCTAATTTATTCTTGTCTTCGAAGCTAATTCGAAGTATTTTAACTATTTATTATAATGTAAATACCTACATACCTAGTTAATAGTTAGATTTAAAAGATATCATGACATTATATCATTCGATATTCCGTTAATAAACCAAATACCTACCAATAGATACCAACTTAATATAACCAAATATATCATCATAATAATTTAATAAGAAAATTGTTGCTTATACCAATGTATCTGCGTCAAGGAACACGCATTTATCGTAATTGGTAAACGTCCAGCAATGCAGTTTGGTGAAAGTCACTCCCAGCTCGGGGCGACACATTAGGGCCAAATGTGTTTGATCCCTAGAATCCAATACGTCCACTACTTTGACTTCATCGAATACGGCTTGAATYTGTTGTCTAAAAAATAATAATTAAAAAAAATATGTTTAAGATTTACTCATAGAAAAAATGATTTTTTTAATTAGAGTAAACACTTAATATATGTTGAGTTTCATATATTCAATCGTACTTCATAGGTGCTGTTACACCGGGTGTAATTAGTATGGCCAACTTGTGCACTGTTCCAACGGTTTTCAATGAATGCGCCAGGACTAATGCTCCCAAGGAATAGGAATCGTTCGTGGCCAATGTCACCCATGCTTTGTCTGAAAATAATTCAAAAAGTAATAAAAAAATAATTACCATAGATAGATACCAAATCTTGAACATTTAATATTAGGAATTAGGATGGTTTACCTATTACCTAAGTAAAGTATTTTAAAAATATACACTGCAGCTAAAAGAAGGATTACAATA